AGTATATTTAATATTTTAGGTTTTTGATTATCCAGCAAAATAAATAGATGTTAAACCTATTTGTAAAAGAAGGTATACATTTAAAATGTTTGAGAATTATATTCTTAAAATAGGAAGATTTGCAGACCTTCATTTGATAATTAAGTATAACAACTTCTTAAATAAATTTTAGTATCAATTTATTTGGTCAAAATATAGAAATCTAAGAGGATAATTTCAAAAATTTTAAGAATTAAGATAATTAAAAAGAAATAAAGAGGACAGGGAAAACCTAAAATCAAACGAAAAAAAGAAAAACAAATCGTCCATCATACCTCACCCACAGTGAATAGGAATAAATAGACTAGTAAACAATAAAATCAAAAGATGCATGATGCTTGAAGAATTTGATGAAAAAGTTCAAATCAAAGAAGACTTAACAAAAAAGATCTCAAAATGTGAAATAAAATTAGTTAGTGCTTAAAAATTGACAAGAGGATTACCAAAATGAAAATACTAGATTGATAGCTTCATTTTGATAAACTCTAATTGTAGTAACCACTAATACCAGGTAATTCCTTCTTGTTCTCAGCAGCTATTCTAGCTTATGAATTTTTAGGAGTACATTTAAAAATATCATCATGGAACATTGTAGGTTTACCAAAAATGATGAAACATCTATTGAAAATAGTAAAAAGAAGAACAAACTTATAGATTATAAGAACCTAGCAGTTTATAACATGAATCAAATTAATTCAGTATAATTTATTCAATGGTAATTTTAATGAGCAATCAACATAAGATAGCAATAAAAAAAAAATTTAATTATCTTCAATGTTATTAAATAATACAACAAAACAATAGAAAATAATAGCAATATAAATCATGAGTTAAACGATTATAGATTTAATAGTTTTGATAAAGATTAATTGACTTAGTTATAAGAATAAATGAATGCATCTTTAAGAATTATATATTTGGGTAAGATTAAAATGATATTAAAGAATGAAAAGATAGAACTTGGGAAGAAAGAGAATATCTTAAAGATAGAGATATTGATTAACTAAAATATTCGATATATAAGCATAATAATATATAATTGAAATGATTAAATAAGATCACAATAAAATAGAATTGAATAGAGAAATAAAAAGGATCATTAAAGAGTGCAAGAATGATGATTAAAAAGCAATTGAATATGATCCATAACAAATAAAATATGGTTAGGATATGATTGAAAAGAATTTTTAAACAGCAACTCACTTTAAAACTTTATGTTGATGCAAATACTTTAATAAAAGAAATTAATAACTTTATTGCCTTAAGAGACAGATGCAAAAAGAGCATTAGAAGGATAGGTTATTAAATTATATCGAGTGAATTTATAAAATAACTTAAATGAGATTAGAATTAGAGAGAGTTGTTTAAGAATAGAGATATTTGAAAATTAGAGAGAATTATGAATAAACAATGAAAAATTCAGCTAAAGAAAGAAAATAAAGAATTAGAGATAGACTTTTACATTAAATGGAATTTTAGAAGATCTATGTTAAAATGTACAAAACAACAAAATAATATAAGGAGATTAACATTGGATATGTTTTTCAGAGGGTAAACATTAAATAAACTTGTATTAATGAAAGATATAGATTTAATTATTTTATATTTAATGAACATTAATATTTTTAAGATATAATGTTATTATAAGAAAGTAGTGATAAGAGATTATATATAAAATGTTGAACAGTTTTGGATGTTTTGGATATTAATATGAATTTAATAAGAGAAAGATTGAAATTATAGTTAAAATTATTTACAAATTAAGTATGCCGATTTATCCAACTGATCTAATTTAAATTAATTAGCTTCATCCGAGAAACCATTAAAAGTATTCCTAATATACTTTCCTTTTGTAGTTTATCATCTCCTTTTGATAATGATATTCTAAAGTAGAACCATTAAATTCTAGTGCAATGACTTAAGAATATTAAGAATATAAAATAGAACAATTATCACACATGATTAGGATCATATTGCATAATAAATTAGTAAAAAAAGCATATAATCCTCTAGTATTTGATGAATTATTTATTAAAAGAGGGAAATTAAATCTGAATGGTAATTAATGGAATTAAGTGAAAATAGAAGAGGAATATATTATAGAATATGATTATTTAATTATTTTGTTAAAACTAAATCAAAAGTAGATGTAAAAAAGAAGTATTATAGGATGAAAAGATATTCCTAGATCATTTTAAACAGACCTTATAAGAAATAAATGAATAAGAATTATAAATCAGATTATTTCAATGAACAATTTGTATTTATTAGAGAAGAATAATAATTCTTTTATGAAATTGTTACATAAGCACATAATAATAGAGTATGGGATGATTTATATTTAATATTTTAGGTTTTTGATTATCCAGCAAAATAAATAGATGTTAAACCTATTTGTAAAAGAAGGTATACATTTAAAATGTTTGAGAATTATATTCTTAAAATAGGAAGATTTGCAGACCTTCATTTGATAATTAAGTATAACAACTTCTTAAATAAATTTTAGTATCAATTTATTTGGTCAAAATATAGAAATCTAAGAGGATAATTTCAAAAATTTTAAGAATTAAGATAATTAAAAAGAAATAAAGAGGACAGGGAAAACCTAAAATCAAACGAAAAAAAGAAAAACAAATCGTCCATCATACCTCACCCACAGTGAATAGGAATAAATAGACTAGTAAACAATAAAATCAAAAGATGCATGATGCTTGAAGAATTTGATGAAAAAGTTCAAATCAAAGAAGACTTAACAAAAAAGATCTCAAAATGTGAAATAAAATTAGTTAGTGCTTAAAAATTGACAAGAGGATTACCAAAATGAAAATACTAGATTGATA